TCAAAATATAATGAATGAAACTTTTAACTCCATTAGTCATTTTTTTATAGTCTATATAGATGATATTCTCATCTTCTCTAGAAATCTATAGAAGAACATTGAAAACATCTTCATGCATTTTTAGAGATTGTCATAACATAATGGTTTAGTCATCTCTGCTAGTAAAATCAAACTTTTTCAAACCTCAGTTAAGTTTCTTGGATACAATATCCAATAGTCAACTATCATTCCCATCAGCCGATTTATCTAGTTTGCAGATAAATTCCCTGATAAGATAACCGATAAAACCCAATTACAAAGGTTCTTAGGATCCTTAAATTATGTTTCTGATTTCTACCAGGATCTCAGAAAAATAATCAAACCTCTGTATGACAGACTCAAAGGAAATCCTTCTCTTTGGACATCTGTTCATACATCCATAGTTCAACAAGTCAAGCAATTTATCAAAACTTTGTCTTGCCTTGATATTCCTTCGGTTGATTCTTTCAAAATTATCCAAACCGATCCCTCCGACATTGGCTTCGATGGTATCCTCCTACAAAAACTTACTCCAAACTCCCTAGAGCAAATTATTCATTTTCACTCTGATATCTGAAATAAGGCACAAGCAAATTATAGTACAATTAAAAAAAAAATTAGCTATTATCCTGTGTATCTCAAAATTCCAGGATGATATACTAAATCAGAAATTCCTAGTAAGAGTTGAATGTAAATCAAAAAATATGTTTTGAAAAAAGATGTACAAAACATTACTAGTAAGCAAATTTTTGCCATATGACAATCTATTTTGAGTATTTTCAATTTTGACATCGAATATATTAAAGACAGTAATAACTGCATACCTGATTTCTTAATCCGTGAATTTTTGCAGGAACCTCATGACAAATAGGAAAAATAGTAAACCTGGTACCTCTTCCAAAACCGGAAGGAATACTGGAAAACAATTAGCCTTACCTAGTCCCAATCAAAAACCAAGTCAATTACCTAGTCAGTCAATAGAAATTGCAATAGCCAACCGTTACCAACCCCTTGGTAACCCAGTAAAACCAGTGGTCCAGTCCACATTAGTAAACCCTAGTACTTTCCTTCAAATAGCCCAACTAGACCCAACCAGTTCTTCTAGCCCACATATGGTCCAACCCATATCCTCAACTAGACCTAGTCAGCTAGTTAACCCATATCAGGGATATAAGTCATAGCCTAGTTACAAAAAGACGGATTATGTTGACAAGCCTCCGGCCCACTACATATTCCCTATTGAACCAATTCATGCTCACCTCAGTAACCCCATTGACCTAGTCAATGCTTATCCTGAGCCTGGATAGACCTTTGTCTCACATGACCCTGAAAAGACTTTTCAGTTTTATCAGGATATCCTTTTCTTTACTAAATCCATTTTCATCAAAGAAATTTCAGACAATAAAGATCCAAGTAAAGATTATTTATCATTCTTTATATATATTAAATATTATGTCACTAAAAAAATGAGGATCTCACCCTTCTTCACTCAAAGATCTATCATACCATAATAAAAAGTTTAGTTATTATGATTACAAAGAATCATGGTATAAACTTATCCTCTATCAGAATGAGTCTTTGACTCACTCCTGATTCATCCAGTTTAACAAGGATTTCAAAAGCCAACTTCCTTGTTGGTTTTCACAGTGGTGGCAGGTTCACAACCCATGCTTGAAATCCTTCCACTTGATCTTCAGGATCAAGTGACCTATTTCTCATATACTTATAAACCTAGTAAACATGAGTCTAGTTTTCCGAGTCTTTTAATTTTCATGAAAAAATATAAAATCTCATAGATATACAATTGAAAATGGGATATTGCAGCAGGATATGTTATCCGACAGTTCCGCGTGAAATGGTGGCCTAAATACCAGCATGAACGTATTATTCAACAGGTTCAGTAGGAGTTTCCAGTAAAAGTTCCTACTCCAGTCATGTAGGAACAACCAATCATACTCCAACAACCTCAGTCAAACAGGTTATGCCACCCCTCAAGATCTCTACCCCAGTAGAATTCTCGGCACAACCATCCATAGTAAAGCAGAAAAAATCCTCCTCCAAGAATTCCAGTAAGCAATCCAAGAAGAAGTTCACTGCACTCATTGAGTTAGCACAGAGGCTTCTTCAACAAGCAGCTAGTGAAAGCAGTTCATCTGCATCATCCTAGGCCTCAGTCACACCATACTTGGATCCATTTCAAGACAGCCAGGATCCATTTGCAGGATATGATGACTTAGCCGACATCACTACTCCATGATTTTTATCCTTACATGTGATAGCTTCAATCACTACTCTCGAAAGAGGGAAAAACTGTTTGTCACCTATAATGATATTATATCATATAGTAAAGTCAGGCTCTTCCCCAGTAAAGCAACCACCAGTCAACATCCAATCTACTTTCCCACCAAAAGTAGATTCTTCAGCCAGCAGTAGAGGTCTACACCTGTATTAGTCAAGAGTTACTTAAGTAAAAGGCATTTCACTCTTACTTTTCCACCAAAAGGTAAAGTGAAAAGCATTTTACCTTAGTAAAAGCAGCAAAGGATAATCATGTCAAGATTCCCTCCGAAGGCTCTCTCCTCCTATATAAGGACTTTAGTCTTCACCAGCAAACCAAGTGTGTTTTCACACAACACTACAAGCCAGTATTCATTATCCTTCCCTTCTCTCATATTGTATCTCTGATCTTCATAATGATGCAAATGAAGAAGCAGACCATTATCCTTAATCACACACTTCCACTAGTCCACTAGTACTAGTATTGTAAGTATTTTATTTCTTGTATTGTAATTTCTTTATTTTGTGAATATAAAGAAATGTTTAGTAACTCTTTTATAATTCATCACTAGTTCTTATATCTACAGCCTGTGATCCTTCTCATATCTTTCATTATTCTGCAGTTTTATTTATTTTGGTATCAGAGCCATTTGACGGCCTGGATAGTTACTCATGCAGTTATATTTGATTTATCTTACTTGTGTTAAATCTCTTTCATTTCAATTTAGTAAATCATTGTTTAGTTTAGTCTACCCCTGTCACCCAGCCTTTGTCCGCCCAAGAGGGAGTGTCTGATCTTGTCCCGTTTGTAGGTCCTGGTGAGGCAGTCCAAGTAGTCAACAGACGTATCATAACAGCATGTATGTTAGGGGGTATACACAATGGAGTTAAAACTTAAACATTAATTTACATAATTACAAAATTAAATTTAATAATTAATAGATTATTCAGATCTAACTCTATGACTAGCTCATCTAGTTCTTCATTTAGTACTATACCTAATATAATAAATGAGGAAGAAGATGAACACCATGAGTCACAAGTAGACTGGAGTGGATAGAATATCCCAAACGTATCCCATCGTAACATCTACAAAACGAGTTGGATTCCAAAAGCATTCAACTCTAAACTCCAAGTAAAAACAATTAAACAAGTTTATGCCCTTAGTAAAGAGGAAGAAACTTGTCAATTAATTAGTAAATAAACCCTAAAGAAACACAGGGAAAAAAGTTTTAATTTTATCCACCTTGGTTTGGTCCAAGTAGTAATTAAATCATTAATGTCACCTGGTAAAGATGCAGCAGTTCTATTAACCTTAAGAGATGCCGGATTCATAGAATATGAACCTAGCATTTTAAGAATAATGGAGACTAGTCTTCATAACGGACCAGTTTATTTCAACTGCTTTCCAGACTTTACCCTCAGCCTTAGTTGCAAAAACACACCTATGACTTTAATCTTAGGTATAAAGTTGTCAGGCCAAATTTACCTAATTTGGTAAAAAATACCTAATCCCTAGGACTTATCTATAGGATTTACTACAAATGCATTACCACAAACCTGAATGTACATGCATTAAAGAAGCATCCTAAAGATAAAATAGTGCTCATCCAAACCAGTACTAGTGATTCTAACATCCAAGTCTCAAAAAGACTTGAATGGAAGAATGTTCAACTTCCAGAATCATGGACAGTTGAAAATGAAAATTATAATAAAGATAGTGAAAACACTGTCACTAACCTTGAGAACATCCAACAGTTATCTGATAGATTAGTAAGAATCTCCTTTGATTCTGCCAGATCCAACAGGTCATTTAGTAAACCTATCCAAATTAATGAAGGTAGAAAATCTGATGTTTATTCTAGTATCTCCAGAAGAGATAAGGACCTAACAAAAGAAACAGAAAGAAAATTTAAGTTAAAAGGAATTGATAATTCCACACCACAGATTAATAGACGTGTTACACTCCACATCAGAGTGTTCCGCAAACTAATCATAGAAATGAAGAGGAGGAAGATGATTTCACCCCTTCACCAACAGCCAGTGACTTACAAAGCACTGCCCCAGTAAATCATCAGTTGCTCATGATTAGGAAAGAAAATGGTTTGTTCTTACCTAATATGATTAACCTAGGAAAAGACTTTTAAGTATGTTGAAAATGAATCTAAAAGACTTAAATACTTTAAAAGAATCAATAGTAACCAACAGAAAGATATAATGGCACAATGGATTAAGCTAATGCACAAAATAGAATCAAAAATTCTATTTTTTGATTATCTTGAGACCCATCACCCAGAAGTAAAAGTAGTAACAAAACATTAGTGAAAAACAGAAAATTCTACCATAACCTCTAGTCATCCCCCAGTAAAAACTATAATATTCAACCACTTGGATAAAGAAATTATAGCCTCACCTTTTAAGATTCTCACCGATGAATCTCACAAAAAGATAATTGAGCAAAATAATTTCACTAACCAAAGCCTAATAACCATAGAAAAACAGCTTGATAAAATTGAAACTAAAATCGATGAAATCAAACCATCTTCTAGTAAAAAATTAAAGAAACCTCTAATTAATTTACCTGAAGATAGAACCAGTCTAGGATTAAAAGATAAGCAAACAATTCAAAGAATTGAAGAACTTATCTCTAAAAAAGAATCCAAATCTGGACCATCTCAAGTAACAGTTATATATATATATATAATCTTGTAAAAATATTTGAGCGTAGGTTGATGACCACCCTCCTGCATTTCCAGTCATCAAAGTCATGAAATTGATTTTAAAAAGTTAGAAAAATGCTACCTATGTCCAAAAGCCAAAAACGAAGAATGAATTTCTACGTGAGGCCATGGAAGCGTCAGGACTCGGGAACTTCTCCAAACAAGGACTTCTCTGCATCTAGGACACCCTGCACAAAGATGATGGTTAAGTAGCGGATATCACACAGAAAATGATAATGGCTGGTTCAGTCTTCCATGTAAAAACCTTGATGATCACTATGGCCGCATCCTTGTGCAAAACCTCATTATACTCATGACAAGCAAGACTCTGAAACATGCCAAAACCTACAATATTACTCCCAACAGAGAGGAAGAGAGCTAAAATAACTATGAAATCAATAACTTCATACTGACTTGGACACAATTAGGGCAACCAGTATCTCCAGAGCAGCAGCATGATGTGAGAAGCTCCAAGGCAGCAGTTAATAATTCAGTGAAAAGCGGTTGAACCTGCAGACATCAAAAGGCTTCCATGACAGTGGGAAGAGAAAATGTTATTCTTGTTCATAACACCTGAAAGAAAAAACAGAAGTCTTTCCTGAAAGGGTTAGGGTAAGATTCAAACTGGTTACTATAACTGCCTGCATGTCATCCTTTGTGTCTACGACACATGTACAATGTGAGGAAGTTGGGGGCATTCTCAGAAGCAGTGAAGTTTTTGGGCTTAGTCGGTTTGGATCAGATTAAAGTACTTTAATATCATGTCACTAAAATAAAAGAAGGTTCATCAGTCATGTCATGCATCGGTGCTGAAATACCAAAAAAAGAACATGCATGTCACTCATAGCTCACCTGTGCTGAAATACCAGTCCCTCCAGGATGAGGATCATATAGCAAAATTCTTTCAGGAGCATAGCGGGCATCGTGAGGGTTTACACACTCTGAGGCTATATCAGACGAGTTGCAAATGACATATCTACATTCCATTGCCAAAGAATCATGAAGGAATCAGGCCCCACCACCAACATACATTAAAGTGAAGGATCATAGCCAAAACTTCAACTTTCCAAATACAACTAAATATTTGCACACACCGAGAAAAAAGGATCCTAATGGAAAAGGCTACAGCTGTGGCTACAAAGTTATCCTGATATTATAGCATCCTTCGGGCAAATAACAGACCGTACAATTCTACTTTCCTCATATGAATGCTGATGACTTACAAAGGCAATACATTAAGAAGAGCATGACCAGCGGCATGTAAGCCTCCACGAAATGAACAATTTGTGATCTCCACAGCTGTTTTTACTGACTGGGGGACTCGAATCCAAACAGCCTGTGTACAAGTATTGTAAAAGAAATGGTCACAATGAACATGGCTTGAAAAAACAATGCTGAGTCAGTATCACTAAAAGTGGAAAATCTCAAATCATGTCAGTCCACACCTGTGATTCATATGAAAAATTAGGAAGTGACAATTCAACTGTATCAAAAACTTGGTTGCTTCCTCTCCATATTCTGCGGAAGCCAAACCAAGTGGTTGTTACTTTACAAGTATGTGCTTGGGCAGGTGTTCTAGGGAGTTGGATAGTGGACATCCTAGCTGGATAGGCCTAAACAGGAGGAAACACAATGGGTAAGTATTTATTCTACCATCAAATGGGAGTAATACGTTGAAATTGCTACAGCGATAGAGCATTACTTGCAGAAGTCCCCATGAATATAGAATATAGATTGTGAATGACATAGCAGAAAACAAAAAAGACAAACAGCTGTGGAGTGTCTTCTCTATTCAAAAAAACAAGACCAATAAAGCTGTTTCTGTTGATTTATCTTACCTTGAAGATCAATATTCCACAAACTTTCAAAATAAAGAAAGAGCTTGCAGGAATAGTGCAGTGTCTGGCTGAATGTAGATTGTGGCAAATAAAACAACTCTTGCTGAACTCAAATTTCATAAATGCAGGGTAACTGCATTTTGCTTTCCAAGGATTTCATGGCATATACAAAGGTTTGGGTAACGGGGGCACTATATGACCCAACCAGGAGAATGGTTGGCTGCCCTTTATAAGGCTTCTCCTTTACTGCGCTTTTTGAGTTCAAGTACACAGCTGTTTGATGTGGGACCAGAGCCATTGGCTTCCGGGGTTACATCGACATTTCCACATTAAAATTTTTTACCTCCTTTATGTCACTGAACCTGTAAGATAGTGAGTCATGTAAACAAGAGATTTAAGAATGGTATTATGGGGGCAGAAAAGCATAGATCAGATATTCTCTCACATCAGCCCCGTGTTTATGGCTATGTTCCATTATATCCTTTGTCAGTTATGATTTAATCTACACAATTGCAACACAAAAATATGCATAAATAGGATTTATGGGATCAACTTACTAAATAACTTTGGCAAGCCTAATAATGACTGTAAGGATAATGAGAAAAGGTTCTTGATCCCTGTTAATTTTTTTAACTTCCTATTTAGAAATTCAAATATATTGATATGTCTTCTGTCTCTCTATTTTATCTATGAAATTCACAGTTTTTTGAATACTTTAACCCTCATAATATACTACTTAGTCTCTACCACAATGCACCGATGGCTCCTTCGACTGCATCCTAATTGGGCAATAAGGCCCCCAGTAACAAAGGAGGCAAAAAGTACAGTAGCATTTTCAGTATGAATAATAAGCACTGTTAGTAAGCCTGAAGACAAATTTCCCCAACGTTAGTCCTACACATGTCATTAACAAGAGTAAGACGATGTAAAAATTGGCAGAGTATGATCCTCTGGAAAAATATTGAGCATGAGAATGCCTAACTTATGCAAGTGCTTTATTGTTGATAATAATGGAAATTTGATATGTACCTAACCCAACAAGTAATAAAAGATATTTGACATAAAGCAAGAAAGCAAAAAACAAAGAAATAATTAATATGCATACAATTTCACCACCGATGACGTGAATATCTGTGTAATCGCGAGTTTTAGTGTAATACTTCAAGTCGGCTTCTTGGCACAAAGCAATTTTACTTGATAAATCCAAGTCCTTCACCAGATAAGTTTTCCCCTGATGCATATACACGGCACCTTCATAAACCTGAAAGATCAATGAAAATTTAAAAATTTGCAAAATAACGTCAAGGGGCTAAGGGAGTATTTGGGTGAGACACTTTCAAAATATCAAGGGGCCTTTATGAGAGGGAGACAAATTATGAATGTAACATTTGTTGCTAATGAGATTGTTGAGGAATATAAGGTGATGTGAGAAGAAGGTTTTGAGCTAAATATAGATTTTGAAAAGCATATAATCATGTGGATTGGAATTTTTTGAATTTTGTGTTAGAAGAAAAGGGATTTGGTGTGAGATGGAGAGTGGATTAGGGGATGTATGGAGTCAGTGAAATTTTTGGTTAGTATGAATGGGAAACCTAGGGGTACATTTAAGAAATAATAGGGGCTTAGACAAGGGGATCCCCTATTACCATTTTTGTTCACTTTGGTGGTAGAGGGATTGAGTAGATTCATAGAGGGGACACAGAGACGACACTATATTCTTTTCTTCAAGAGATGAATAGAAATTAAGAAATTTAAAAATGATTGTTGAGATGTTTGGTGTAATATCTAGACTTAAGGTTAATATGGAAAAGAACACTTTAGTGGGTATCAATTTTGGTCATGGAAAGGTGGATAGGATGGCAAGTGAGATGGGATGCTTAGTGGGTGAGTGGCCATTGAAATACTTAGAACTCCCTTTGGGAGGCAATCCATTGTCTGGAGCTTTTTGGGAACCTAAGTTAGAGAAAGTTGGGAGGAGATTAGATGGAAGAAGAAATCTTTTACTGGGTGAGGAGAGGGGGGGGGGGGGGGGGGGGGNGGGGGGGGGGGGGGGGGGGGGGGGGGGGGGGGGGGGGGGGGGGGGGGGGGGGGGGGGGGGGGGGGGGGGGGGGGGGGGGGGGGGGGGGGGGGGGGGGGGGGGGGGGGGGGGGGGGGGGGGGGGGGGGGGGGGGGGGGGGGGGGGGGGGGGGGGGGGGGGGGGGGGGGGGGGGGGGGGGGGGGGGGGGGGGGGGGGGGGGGGGGGGGGGGGGGGGGGGGGGGGGGGGGGGGGGGGGGGGGGGGGGGGGGGGGGGGGGGGGGGGGGGGGGGGGGGGGGGGGGGGGGGGGGGGGGGGGGGGGGGGGGGGGGGGGGGGGGGGGGGGGGGGGGGGGGGGGGGGGGGGGGGGGGGGGGGGGGGGGGGGGGGGGGGGGGGGGGGGGGGGGGGGGGGGGGGGGGGGGGGGGGGGGGGGGGGGGGGGGGGGGGGGGGGGGGGGGGGGGGGGGGGGGGGGGGGGGGGGGGGGGGGGGGGGGGGGGGGGGGGGGGGGGGGGGGGGGGGGGGGGGGGGGGGGGGGGGGGGGGGGGGGGGGGGGGGGGGGGGGGGGGGGGGGGGGGGGGGGGGGGGGGGGGGGGGGGGGGGGGGGGGGGGGGGGGGGGGGGGGGGGGGGGGGGGGGGGGGGGGGGGGGGGGGGGGGGGGGGGGGGGGGGGGGGGGGGGGGGGGGGGGGGGGGGGGGGGGGGGGGGGGGGGGGGGGGGGGGGGGGGGGGGGGGGGGGGGGGGGGGGGGGGGGGGGGGGGGGGGGGGGGGGGGGGGGGGGGGGGGGGGGGGGGGGGGGGGGGGGGGGGGGGGGGGGGGGGGGGGGGGGGGGGGGGGGGGGGGGGGGGGGGGGGGGGGGGGGGGGGGGGGGGGGGGGGGGGGGGGGGGGGGGGGGGGGGGGGGGGGGGGGGGGGGGGGGGGGGGGGGGGGGGGGGGGGGGGGGGGGGGGGGGGGGGGGGGGGGGGGGGGGGGGGGGGGGGGGGGGGGGGGGGGGGGGGGGGGGGGGGGGGGGGGGGGGGGGGGGGGGGGGGGGGGGGGGGGGGGGGGGGGGGGGGGGGGGGGGGGGGGGGGGGGGGGGGGGGGGGGGGGGGGGGGGGGGGGGGGGGGGGGGGGGGGGGGGGGGGGGGGGGGGGGGGGGGGGGGGGGGGGGGGGGGGGGGGGGGGGGGGGGGGGGGGGGGGGGGGGGGGGGGGGGGGGGGGGGGGGGGGGGGGGGGGGGGGGGGGGGGGGGGGGGGGGGGGGGGGGGGGGGGGGGGGGGGGGGGGGGGGGGGGGGGGGGGGGGGGGGGGGGGGGGGGGGGGGGGGGGGGGGGGGGGGGGGGGGGGGGGGGGGGGGGGGGGGGGGGGGGGGGGGGGGGGGGGGGGGGGGGGGGGGGGGGGGGGGGGGGGGGGGGGGGGGGGGGGGGGGGGGGGGGGGGGGGGGGGGGGGGGGGGGGGGGGGGGGGGGGGGGGGGGGGGGGGGGGGGGGGGGGGGGGGGGGGGGGGGGGGGGGGGGGGGGGGGGGGGGGGGGGGGGGGGGGGGGGGGGGGGGGGGGGGGGGGGGGGGGGGGGGGGGGGGGGGGGGGGGGGGGGGGGAGTAGATTAACATTGATTCATTCTGTATTATCTAACATTCCAATATATTTCATGTCTCTTTTTAAAATGCTGGCTAAGGAAATTAAAGGTTTGATGAGAAATTTTTTGTAGGAAGGAGTGAGAGTAGGAATAAAAGACCATTAGGTTTGTTGGGAGGTGGTGAGTTAGCCAAAAGATAAGGGGGATTTTGATTGGGAATTGGGTGAAATGAATGTATCATTTCGAAAATGGCTTTGGAGATTCATTTTCGAGCAAGATTCATTGTGGCATGCCATTATAAGGAGCAAGTATGGGTTACTAATGGGGTTGAAATGGGTACTTTTCGGAGTTCGTGGAAGTTCATCTCTCATGGATTATCTTGTTTTTCTCAAAAGGTTAAGTTTACCATGGGTAATGGAACTAGTGTGTATTTTTTGAGAGATATTTGGGTGGGTGAGTCTTCTTTCTCTAGTCTTTTTTCACGCATGTATCAAGTTTCTTGTTATCAGGATGTTTGGATTGAATCTATGATTAATTCATACTCTCAACTTATGAAACAAGGATACTTTAAAAAAGGAAAAGTATCGGGTTGGATACGGACACGCATCCAATACACTGGGGATACGTATTCGATACGACTGAAAAGTATCTTAGAATTAGAAAAATGAAATTTGAATTTTGGACATGTTGGGATACACGAGATACGAAATGGATACATCAGGGTATTACTTGTATTTTTAAAAAAGAACAAGGACACCGGAACAAATATATTGAGCCCTTATTTGCAAAAAAGAAAAAGAAAAAACCCTAACTTATTCGACAGAACCACCCACCTAGTCGAGGTTTTCGACGATGCCCCCCTCTCTCTTTCTCTCTCTCTCTCTCTCTCACACCTCCAACGATCTCTTTTGACGTCAACGTCGTCTCTCCTCCCTCCTAATACTATGAAGTGCAACTTTGACGAGTGACGAGTCTCTCCTCTCTGTTGTCCAATGTCCAAGTATCATCAGTGTCGTAAACTCTGTCCTCTCTCTCTCTCTCTCTCCTCTCTTTTGCCTTTTGCCAGTGATTAGTACTCCTCTTTTGCAATTAGGGTTTGCAATTTACAATGGAAATCTTTCTCAGAAATTAGATGATTTTTATAGCTAAATGAATCAATATTTTTCCTCAAAGAAATCTGAACCAATGATTATGATTGCACTAGAATTAGGATTGGAGAATAATTTTTTTTTTAAGCAGTATGGAGAACAAATTACACATATAGGGTTTCTACTTGGTTTTTTTTATTATATATTAGGAACTATTCGTCGGGACACTGTTTAAATTGCATTTGAACTGCTGGGTACACTGTTTAATCTACCTATATGAGAACTATTTGAAAACAAATATTTTTTTATTGTTGATTGTTGATTGTTAAATTACTTTTGAATTTCCATATAGTGTTGGTTGTTGGGTGTTGAATTTTCTCAAACAGTTTGACTGTTGAATTTTTTTGGTTGTTGATTGTAAATTAACATTCGCTTAATTAAATTAATAATTATAAGAGAATGAGTACGAGTACGAAAAGTATGGGCTCAACTAATGGAAGTGGAAGTGGCACTCCACTAATCAAGATGATAATGCACCTCTTTAGGGTAATGTTACTAAAATAGAAAAAAATGGGGGAAGGAGGTGGAAATACTAGATTCCAAATGCAATTTCTATCAAAATGACTACCAGTGATCATAATTTTCGTGTTAAGGCACATTTATCGAAAATTTATAGTCATGGGATTAAAGTGTGCTCTAAAGTGACTCCCCAACATCTTGCTAAGATGCAAAAAGTAGTTGAAGAAGTAGAGAATAGGGTTAAAATGACTATGCCCAAGAAGGTTACTTTGCCATTTTCCTCTTTCAAGCGCTACCTACAACTAGGAGTATGGGTATATCAAAAATTGAAACACTTAGAATGGAAGATTTTGAGCCAAGAAAAAGGAAGGCAACTGGAACTAATGCTTTGGAGAAAGCATTTAGGTTGGGTGCTCGGGAAAAATTGCACTCCCACATTGCACGAATATTTTATTAAGATGGCTTGCCTTTTCATTTAGCTAGGAACTCATATTATGTGAGTTCTTATATATTTGTTGCCACTAATTTGATTACTACCACCTAGTTACAACGTATTGAGGACCACGCTATTTCAAAAGGAAAGGACGCATATAGAAAGATTGTTGGAGCCAACTAAATTGTAATGAGAGGAAAAGAGAATGAGCATTGTTATAAATGGGTGAACTGATTCACAAAGAAGATCTCATATCAATTTCTTAGTTGCATCGAAATGTAGGGCAATGTTTTTGAAAGCCATCAACTGCAATGTGAGGTCAAAGATAAGTTTTTATTGCGAACTTAATCGGTCAAATGATTAAAGAAGTTGGACCTCAAAATGTGGTTCAAGTAATAATTGATAATGTTCATGTTTGTTCTTCTGTTGGATTAATCATTCAAAATGAGTTATCTTCTAGACACCATGTGTTGTGCACACATTAAATCTTGCCCTTAAGAATATTTGTGCTGCAAAAAATCTTTAAAGGAATAGAGTTACTTATAATGAATGTTATTGGATTATATAAGTTGTTGGAGATTTAGTAACAATCAAAAATTTCATCATGAATCATCTTTGAGGTTGTTTATCTTCAAT